ACTGTACACCGTAGTGTACATCATGTACTCAGTAGTGTATGTAGTGTGGCATAGTGTGGTGTACGTATCTTTCCACCAATCACTGTAGTTTTTCTACTATCTTTCTTCTCCTTCATCTATCTCTATTCCAGTGGTTGGTCTGTGAAGTCAGTTGTGTCCATTAGTTCAAATTAGAGCAGTTTTCCAGGGAAGGCAGAGAAGCGTAAATCAGCCTCAGCCAGCTAGAAACACAGTGTGGTGCCCTCACAGATGAAGGGTACTTTTTTACTCACGGAAAACTGGCTTGTTTAGAAAAGCCTGCAATGTCCTACTGTGATGTCTGTGTTTTCCAGAATGAAACTGTAAGTGCTGAAAGCATAAAATAAATATATAAGCCCAATAATGATAATGGTAAGGCGGTAACTGTCACAAATCTGATTTATATGTGTGTTGGCCGGCCACTAGTGATCAAACCATGTTCACAAAGTCCTGATGAAGCAGATTACACCCCCCCCCCCCAAATGGATGGAAACAAAGCAGGTTTCTAACTTTTAAGTAAACATGGTTGTGTGTTTGTGTGTTTTTAGAGGAAAGAATTCACCTCATTTGTTAGATCTCAAGAATACACACATTGGGCCTTTTTTTCGGATGGTGGGCTCGTAGGAGTGAGCCTCATCAGATTCCCAGTCTCACATGCTGTGCCTTGACTTCATGGTAAACAGGGCAATAACTTCTGTCACTGTCCCTCTCTATTTCAAACACTAATTGCCTTAATCAACACAAACACACTGGCCCCACTGGGGGACACAACAATGGCGAAGCTCATGCTCTCTAACGACCCACTCACTGCAAAATGGCTCCATTGCTACGCTGATATGTTGATGTAAATTAGCAGATTTTAGATTATAATTACACCTCGCCTCCTCGGAGGCAGAGTTGGTTAGAGTGGAGCCTTATGGAATAATTGGGGAGGCAAATGAGAGTGAAGACATGAACAGGAGACATTAAAGAGAATTCCCTTGCTGGGAGCACTGGGCTACCTGTGCTGCTGGAAACCTCCAGAACAGGTGATTAGGCAAGAGTAGGTGTCATTAAAACGCCATTAGCACAAAACCCGACCCCCGGTGCTCACCGCAAATACACACCAACATACACGCATATGGTCTACCTCAGCAGTGTGTCTGTGTGAGACACACTGAGTTCACGTCTATCTGTGCTGAGTATCTAATGACTCATTTAGGACCCCTACCTCTGGGAATGTGACAGTAAGGACCCTCTTGCGGTTGGCTCACTAAGTGCCTGCTTATTAATTAAACACAGCTGAGGCTCAGGGGACGGCAGCAGTCCTGCATATCAGCTTGTCAAGTTTCACTCTGTGTGTGGGGCTAAATGAACAGGGCCCTTCTGAGTGCAGGCCAGCTGGATCCATGGGAAGACATTTTGGTCCCATGCATCAGAAAAGAAAATATCATTTGCGAAAGGCCAAAACAAACACCACAGATGTGGACACGTGGTCATACTGGGATTCTTGTCTTCTCGTTAAGGGAGAGAGAAATCCAAATAGCCCTGGCTGTGTAGGTAAGTGTGCAGTGTGTGTAGGGAATTATTTGAGGTGCAGTCCTAGATATCTTGAGAATGAGAGAATTGAATCATTCAGGCTGAGTGCCAATTATCATTCTGCCATTAAAACCCTATTCACCAGCCTAGTAATTTCCCTCCAAATGTGTTGTTCTAATTATGAATTAAACTCAAATAAGCTTGGGTAATGAACCCAGTTTTATTCCTTTCAGAGGCCGTACCCTTTTCGCCTTGTGTGCCTCCGTTGTTGCAGTCGTACACTTTATTCCTGCTTCCTGAGTTGGACTTCCAGAGGTGTTTGACGGAGTATCGCCGTGTATTATTGTGTAATTCACAGAGATAAACCTCCAGCTTGTGGCTGCATCACCTTTGATTGAACCTCTTTATATTGCTTTGTTTAATGCGCCCGTATTGCTTTTCTATTACAGCTTTTGCTGAAATGACACAGAATTCCATTTGCTGTAATGCCCTAGCTATTGCCTTTGTTTGCATTGTGGCAGTAGTCTTGCAGAACCGTAATGGGAGATTGAGCCAGTTGCTCACAAGTCCCATTTTAGGTGAATGGAGGACAGTGTCACTGGAGCCTAGATGGAATCTGGACTGCAATGGCACCATCCGGCCCACGATCATTAATCCTTGAAGCTGGACCATTAACAGGGAGAAAAGAGAACAGGTTGCATGTGGCTGTGTGCATGTGATCTATTTAACATCCTCGCAGGAAACCACCAAACTCAATGATCTAAACTGCTATACTGCTCTGCTGAAGTGACAAAGCCGGTTGAGAAGTCACTTGTGAAGTCAGCATAAGATTCAAAACTTTTCTAGTGAGTTTTCAGCTTTCCACTGTTATAGTAGTATTGTGCACATCAACTGAGTTGCCAAGGTATGGGAGTAAGTCCAATGGAAAAACTTCTAAATGGCTCATTTATAGTTTTTTTGTGATTCATTAAAGATGTATTTTTTTCTTTGCACATCACAGACGGTAATCAAGCCATCAACTTATTTCTCTGGTCTTGATATGGTGAACAATATGTGCATTTAATATCGTTATCTGACCTCATACTTTCACGTTAATGTTTCGATCAGACTTCTAAGTGTTACAGAAATGCTTCAGGTCTGATCTAGTCGGACCGCCATTATTACTTTTTTATGTGGCTTCTTCAGACATGAGACTAAATTGGCAGCACATCTATGTAACACACTTTAGTAAGTAGAATGTTACTGTTACTGATAGGAATGATGGTCATTTGTATTTCTTTGTCTGTGAATATTGGTTTCATGTACTCTGTTTTTGCTTTTTTGATAAAGCTTCATTCAATAAGAAATGTTAACTTGTTTTCCTGTTCTCCAGTTCTCTGGAGGCCCAGTGATTTGGATCTCCAGTCTTTGTGATCGAGCTCTTAACGGGGCTACATCTACCTGATGACATCACTATTAAAATGGTGTTGTGCTGTTCAGTGACTGGGGACTGTCGGGGCAAAAAACAGTCAGACTTCTTCTCAAGAATACACACACTTGAACACGTACACACACACACACACACACACACACACACACACATGCCTCGCACCTATAACTGGAGCTGTCACCCTGTATACACCTAATGAGGATAAACTCCCTTTTAACCTCACTGAGGAATCCCATTAATTGTGTCTCCACTGATGGGCCATTCCATCCCCTCCTCTTTTCTCCACAGCAGGAGCTCTGAGGCTGGAGAAGGCGTGTGGTCCCCCCCCCCCTCCCCTGGAACAAGGTGACTGCAGGATCAGATGTTCCACTCCACTGGAGGAATGGGGAGGTGGATGGTGGTGTCGGAGGGTGGGGAAAACTCCAGCCTCCAATTATATGAAATGTTAGCGCTAGAGCTGTGTCAGTAAATCTATACTCAGTAATGTACCTGTGTGTGTTACTGTGTGCATGTAAACTTCATCATCAGTAAACACTTTACCCGGCCAGTCTCTTAACAAGCTTGGGCTCTCTCTCTCTCTCTCTCTCTCTCTCTCTCTCTCTCTCTCTCTCTCACACACACACACACACACACGCAGGTTTGGGAATAGGGTGTCAGTGCTACAGTAGCACGGTACCATGCTACCTTTATGATTAGGTTCTGGTTAAGTTTAGACCGTTAACATGGTCATGGTTAAAAGAGACTGCTGGCATGGGAAGGAAAGCAAGTAGTGGTGTCCACTGTCACACATAGTATACCCAGCCAAACATCAACATATAGAGCAGAGGTCTTCAACAGGGTACTGCAGGGGGTCCGCAAAATTTTTGGTTGATTAAAAAAATAATAATAATAATATATATATTTTTTTCTCTAAACATGAATCTGTCCATTATTTTAATAGTTCAGTATTGTATGCAAGATAACAGGTATGTTTATGCATGGCAGTGGCACTAATAGGACATCACTCATTTTCATTTCCACATTTATGTTTAAAATGAAAACATCAATTTGAATAGCTTGTATGCATGATTATCATGCAATTGACAGGCAATGTTGATATTGGCATTGGTATCAGCTGACAAGGTATGTTTATAAATGGCAGTGACACGCCACCCTACTCACTGTACCTTGCACATGTTTAAAATAAAAACATGAATATATGAACCTGTGTATTATTTGAATAGCTTAGTATTGAATGCACAATAAAGAGGTATGTTTATACATGGCACTAGGCCCAGTTTAATATAAAAACACAATTTTATACAATATATATAGTCGGGGGTCCCTGCTCCATCTCTCTATCAGTTTGGGGGTCCTTGGCCTGAAAAACGTTGAAGACCCCTGTTAAAGAGGTTTCCATGCAGCACGTTACTAGCTGTGTTTTCAGGAAAGTGTTGGGCAAATTTTCAAGGTCACAAAAAAAGAAGTAAGAATTAGACGCATTTCCATCGACTGCTCTGGTGAGGATAAACTCTGAGGTTTGGTCAGAAGTTGGCGCTAGAGGCTAAATATGGTCGTAATCAACCAGTGAAGGAGAAGAAGAAGAATTAGAGTTTGTGAAACAAAACAAGTGGCCTTGGGCATCTATCTTACCCGGGTAAGATAGATGTAACATCTGGCCAGATGTGAAGGAATAGAGTTGAGGAGGGGCTGTAAACCTTTGTTTACCCATTCAATAGGAAAATATTAGCGCGTAATATATGCTTTTGTTTTGCCAATATTTTTTTCTGTGGAAGGAGTGAAAATATTCCTTCTGCGCGTGTTACATCATCACAATCAACAAAGTCTTGATCTTTCATATTTATTCATCATTTGATCTAACTGCATTGCATTAAACAAACACTCTCCTTTCCTGTCCACTTTCGCAGACGCAAGAAGCCTCACAAAAAAATTGCCATCCGAAGAAAACGTCGGAGTTGATTAACCATAATGATGGAGATGACTTTAATATAAACTGCTTTAAAGCAGTTTATATTAATATAAACTGCTTTTCAGCTACCTTTAAAGGTAGCTGAAAAGGTTGTTTGAAAACTCTTATCAGAATGTCTTCAATCGTGTTGAAGACATATTGTCCATACAACTGCAGCTAACGCCCACAATACACATGAATGTATATTGATGCCTATATTTACTGGCAATTGACAAAAATTCATATTCAATCATGCATTTCCTTTGTTATTGACTTTACATATACTCTTTATCATTGAACCTAGAAGGCCCTACTGCCAGTTCCAAATGCTATATTAGAGACAAGAAAGGTAAACAGATATGCAATCTGCTCATATTTGTCTTTAACCTTCCTGTTGTGATTTACTTTTACAATTCTTTTGCAATATTGCATTTCTTTACTTATCTCCATTTGACAGCATTTGCTACTTTATTCTTGAAAAGTACAGGAGCAGGAGTATGGTACAGTGCTCTAAGGGTGTGTGTGTGTGTGTGTGTGTGTGTGTGTGTGTGGTGCAGTTGTCATCTCACCCCGAACATTTGCCGGAGGTCAGGGTCACGGAAACGGAAAGGGATGTTGGAGACGTGTAGCCTCTTGGGCTGCTGCTTCTCCGACGAATCGCTGGACTGCAGGTGGAGCTGCTGGGAGCCCTCCGTCTGTACGACCTCCTCTGCCTGCTGCAAGGAAACACACAGCGTGCCAAAGATTAGCTCCTATCATGTATACAAAAAAGAGGATCCAGGTGTGAGGCAAGGTTGTTCAGCTGGATGTCTCACATTAAAACAATTGAAAAGAGATCCTATTAATAGAGGAACTGACAGAACAACTGAAATATTAAGAAAGTAGAGAAGTGTGGAAGGGTGAAGGACGAGTGTAAGGGGGTATCAAAAAGAGCTCTGGATCTTCCTGTGTAGCTTTAGATGTTAGGTCATTTTATATTACTGAGATCTCCCCTCTCTCTCTCTGCTCTCATGACATGATATGTGCTCTGGGACATTAAGGAAGCTGTCTGGCAGAGGAATAAGAAACAACATGAAACAACCTGTGACACGTTAACACCAGATCACATGTTATAATGGGCCTCGGAGAGGAAGAGCATGGGTGCAAAGCATAGAGGAAAAAAAAGAGAGTAATGCAAAGCTATACTGGAATGTCGTAGGTCAAGAGGGAGCTGAGCTTGAAGGCAAAGCTCAAGATTTAACAGCGGATCTACATTCCAACCCTCTCTTATAGTCATGAACTTTGGGTAATGGCAGAAACAATGAGATGATTGCAGATACAAGCAGTATCCTTCACAGAGTGGAATTAGAGATAGGGTGAGGAGCTCAGACATCCGGAAAGAACTTAAGGTGGAACTGCGACTCTAGCAAGGAGCCAAGTAAGGTGGTCTAGGCATCTGATTGGGCTGCTTCCCTGTGGAGTTATTCTGAGCATGCCCACACCCCTGTGGAGACCCAGAACAGGCTGGAGGGATTACATATCCCATCTGGCCTGGGAGCGCTTTGGGATCCTCCATGAATAGCGGGGAGCTGTCTGCTTTAGGCCGTCTGTGCTACATAACCTGTTCGCACTACAACCGATGTGAACAAATGGATGGGTAGAGGGAAGTGACATCATGTCATATTGCATTCTGGGTATTTCAGGGGTCAATCAACTATAGCTATACAATACTATAGCTGGGAGCTGTACATTTGGAATAAGCCCCAGGACCAGCACTTGTAGTGATTTGGAGCGGTGGCCTTAGTAGGAACCGCAGGTCATGAGATGTATTTGTTCCCCTTTTTTAATTTTTTTTACAGAGACAATCAGAAGACACAGCAGTCAATACATAAAATATTCTGACTGTCAAATACAAGTTGAAATGAATCAGTAACAGTGGTAAAGTTGAGAAGTATTGGAATATTTCAAAGCGAAAGGGAAGTCACACACTCATTGCCATGATGCAAAAAAAAGAAACCTTTATACCCTGAGAAAGGGTAACCCTGGAGAAGAATCACAGGCATCGTTAGCCTGGTTTGATATTGACTTAACCTCTTCATACAGGATTGTAAGCTTGGACAGGTCAGCTCTCATGTCAGCTTTGCTCTAAGAAATGATTCTATTATTCATTACGCTGACTTCAGTAACCCAGTTCCCTTGTAGCCTTTACCACTGATACATGGAAGCCCATGTATCAGTGCATTCCATAGGGCAGAACCCAGCCATGGGCAAAGCAGTGGCCTCTTGGAAAGAGGAGGACCTCCCACTACTACTTCCACTGAAACAAAAGACTGAGCACACTAAGGCTGTCAATGGTTTTATGTGTTGAAACTAGTGGTTTAACTCTTTTAAGGCAGGCAAGAGATACACTTGTTAGAGCAGCAAGCAGCAATACTGGACTCCAATCTGGTGTTTGGCTCTTCTTGTTCAGTCATGGTGGAAAAAATACGTCATCATTTTTTTGAGCATTTGTCAAGAACTTATTGTGAAGTTTTGAAATTCAAATCTTTATTATCATCAAGAAAATAGTGTCTACAATTTAAATCGCATGACTCATCACTTACATCACTGTGTTGAGGTTATTAAATTGAATTTCATGATAAAGCATAGTTTTTTCAAATTCATTTTTATATGTACAGACATAATCAACTGTGGGTATATATACCACCAACATTTCTAACTTCAATATTGGCAAGGTCACATGGTGATTTGTCTTATTGATTGGTTGCCAAATGCCAAGAAGGTGGGTGCCATTTAATATGAGCCTGTTAGAGGCAGTCACCATAGAGGGGAGAGAGAGAGAGAAGGAGGAATGAAGAAAAGACAAAGCCAAGGAAGTTCATGTCCTTTGTACAGAGAGTGATGGACAATGAATGAATGATGAACTCTCATCCCTGAAGTATTGTGGTTTAGCCTGGTTTTAACCTAAATGAACTGACATCAATGCAGAGCTGTGAGCAGTCAGGGCATGGTTGTCGACGGCCGGGCTCCCGACATGCAGCCCGGATAAGATGACACTGCAGGTGATGACTAGCTGTGTCTCAATTTGAATACTTCTGTACCTACTCTTGAACCCGTGCATAAGTGCATACACAGCGACAAGTATGGCAAAATGCAGTACACTGAGTACCCAGATGGTGAACTCATTACGATCAAAACATTGAGCGTGGAAGGCTGGACACTTATCACCCTTCAACGATCGCCATCTTGGCTAAATTGCAGAAAAGGAGGTTTCATCAGCGGTTGCTGTTGCTCCTGTGAACACCTCGCGATACAAACTAAGTAATATTCTGTTGTCGGACAGAAGCCATCAGATTATTTGGTTGATTTCAGTCTGTAATGATTTGTAACTATAACGCTGCTAGCTATCCAGCTAACTATTTCATGTTCGATTCGAGACAACATTACCCTGTTGAAATTCATGCACTAATCAAGTAATCACATAGCGTTCACAGTCTACTACATGGTAAAGTATCCGAGTTAAGAACTTCCCGCTGAAAAGCCAGTAGATATGCAGGACAGGGGATGTCCTTTATTCTGAACCATCATCTGAAGCTTACTGCTGGTCATAACGTATATCTCTATTAATTCATCATACTGTTAATGTGTGTATGTGCTGTAATCCTTCAGGTGAGTCGAGTCTAGTCTGGCCTCATTAGGAAAACACAGCGTCTCTCTCTCTTTCTCTCTTTCTCTGGATTCAGCAGCAGCAGCCTGACGCAGCCTTTTCAGTTATAATCTAGTTTTTTCATCTTCTTTGGTGGTATTATGGTCCTGCATTAGCAGCTTTGTTTGTGTTGGCACATTGAATAGTTTGCATGGGTGGCTTCCCTCTTTTGTTAGTTTGTCTGGCCAGTCCTTTCCAATTATTTTAGTTTGTATGAAGTTTAGTGTCACATTTATATAGAATACATTTTTTTACTGCTACCTCTTGACTCTGTGGATTATGTTATTGGAACTTTCTGTAAGTCGCAACGGTTTAAAATATGGTTCACACTGTGCTTGTGTGTTGTTTGCAATGAGGAGCAAAAAAGGAGTGAGAGCAGAAAGAGTTGATGTACATAATGAATCAGACCAACACGGTGATGGAGGGATGGAGATAGAAAGAATGAAAAAGAGAGATGAAGATGGAACGATGATGTCAGCTAAACCTGCCCGATCAATGAGAGAGAAGTGCTGAAGGTAGCAGCGGAGACAGAAAGAGAGAGGGAGAGAGGGAGAGATGGAGACAGAGACAGAGAGAGAGAACATGGAGAGCAGTAAGGGAGGTAGGGTTCAGAGATGCATGCAGGCTAAGTGCTGATTGAAGAGAGAACCGTTAAAATGGAGAGACAGGCAAGTGAGGATAATGGCATGGCATTACATCACAAATACACCCACACACACACACACACACAAATACAAACACAAAGCTGAATAGGCAAAGAGCGCTCTAGTGAATGGGATGCAGTTATAATCTGCCCATGTGTGTGAGAAAGCGAGAGACGCACAGAGTCGTTTCAGTCTTCGGCCAACGGACACACACACGCAGGCACACAGTCATGGCTGTGGGCTCGGGTTTTGCAGGTCAGATGAATGGTGTGCACACAAGTGTAATTATCCCGTCAGTCCTCCTGCACCTCCACCTCTTCACTTCAACACCCACTGAACCTCTGTGCCACAAAACACACTGAGGCACAACTATTTTCAATTTATTTCCGTATTTTACTTTGACTCGTAGATTTTTAGATGGACAATCATCAATCTCTACAGGAGGTCCTTTCCGCCATCTGCCATGCCCTTGTACAACCAGTCCCTTCTTAGTCTTCTAAGTCAGGACAGGGAGGTCTAGAGGTGGAGCCTCACACTTCACCCCTAACAGACTAAAGGCTAATACAAACGTTCTCACTCTGAACTCATACACCCATTATCCTCTTTGAATTACTGTATATGATCCATAACAGCACTACAACTTTACAGTATACATGCCCCCAGCCCGTCTGGTCTTTCAGGCCTCAGCCTAGCTTCTCTGTGACATTCAAAATCAATTTAACCCTCATAGTGAACCTGATGTCAGTGTATTGTTTTGTAAAAAGTATATTTTTGTTCTGCATTGTCACTAGCAATTGATACTTAATTGATTAATCTCAACTTAAAACATCACCACAAAACATTAAGAATAGTATGACAACGTTAAACTTCACAGTGATCTCAGTCATCTTTGCTAATCTATTGTATACAGTAGTGCAGTGAACAGGTGGTCCCCTGAAGAGCAGTGAAGTGGGAGGAGTGGTTTTGGAAGTATATTGTTCCCTTATTGACTACTGTAATAATATTATTTCTTATTTGATGGCCATCAGTTTGAAATATAACAATAAGTTCTAAATTCTATAATACCCATGAGACATTCAGGGGCACCAATCCGAACTGTGAAAAATTGGACTTCTATTTGAATAACTTTGGTGTTATAATAAAGGGAACGCTTGTGAAATTTGTTCAGATGTGTAAATATCAGTTTATATGTTACTGGTTCAGAGCAAATGAAGATGGGACACAGCACAAATTGAAAAGTTTCAGGTGTGCCTAATAAAAAGCACTTTCAGGATGATTATCTCTTTTGAATGATGTACTGTAGCTGCAGGTTTAAACCTCTCCCAAATCATAGCACAATATGTGAACAGTCTCTCTGCAAAGTCTGACTTTGTTAAAGTGAAGAAGA